TGAGAACGAAAGAGTTAGCTGGCCTAGCTAATATCACGAATCCAGCTAATACATTAGCTTTCTAAGCTAATCATATTTTTGCTTGCGGCGGTGCTCCCTGGGTAGGTCAGCTCTGTTCTCGGCTTTTTACGTTTTGTGAGTTGACTTTAGCGTACATGTACCGTTACATTCGTGCGTGATGAATGAAGCATATACACAGCGATGACAAAACTATTTAGCCCCTATGTATTATGGTTTTTGATGGCACAGCGTTCTCCAACGCCGCACAGTGCGTACCACGTTGCCTACCGCCGCTGCACCAGAGGCACCGGAGGCCCCATTTGGAGGTCCGGAGCGGCCGTCGCTCCAGAATGGCCTTTATCTCAATTCTCACTCCATTAGACGCCATTCCGATCAAAGAATGTTCTCTCTCGCTCACCCTCTCTTTTCCGCCCTCTTCCCACTCCCCCCCCCCTCTCTCTCCCTCCCTCTCTCTCTCTCTCTCTCGCGCCCGCGCGCATTCTCTCTCTCTCTCTCTCTCTCTCTCTTTGCCGAAGTTGGTGACCGGAGGGATGGATGCCCGGAGCGTGTGTGTGGGAGGGTGGGAGTTGTTTTCGGTCGACAGGAGTAGCGGCACACGACTTTCGCATCTAACGACGCAAACACGCCCATAAAGTAGTAACAGTGAGAGGAAAATGGCGGAGCAAAGGCGGAAAAAAAGGGAGTAGAGCAAAGGGTAGTTTTCTGGTTTTTTCCCCTCTGTTTTGGGGAGTGTGTTGCACGAGTCGGGGTTGCGAGGAGTTATGGGGCTCAACCCCTTCGCCTCTCCCCCACCGCAACCCCATCACAAGCCCACCGGTTCGGCCGTTAGGTGGGGCCTAATGTATTTATTGCACCCGCCAGAGTACTCTGTCAGCCCACCCCCGCCCCGCGGTGGCCGCTTCCGGATGCTGGGAGCCTCTCCCTCCCGAGAAGGATCCCGGGACACCCTGCGGACACGCATTGGGTCCCTCTACCAATCAGCCGAACGCGTGCGCCAAAAACAAACGAAAATAAAGCTTGTCAACACCCCTCCAAAAATCTGAACACATGCCACCATGTTTTGCACTCCCACCACGATTTGCAATCAACAGTAATAATGGCCCACTACCGTGCATCCTAAGTAGAAATGGTGGTCATCGCTTTCCCACATGTATTATTGATTTCAATAGTGTGAGCGCGGCTGGCGCCGCTCGGTCCCGGGGGAGCAGTGTGCCTCCTGATTACAAATACCGAGTTTGTCATCCCATGAGCCCGGCCGTGGGGGCGTTGAGCACGTTCGCCGTAAATATTCTCTTCGTTCCTGTCTGTTTGTCACCCTCTCTGCCGGTCTAAGCATTTTTCTCCCGTTTATTTTGGAAAGAGAATGAAAGGGTTCGAGAGCACGCATGGATTTTGCTGACGGTGCCAGGGAAAGTTATTGAAATTATTATTTGATGCATAATTTTCGGCTGACCAGCTGACTCGACGGTGAAAAACCGCGCGAAAAGGGGAAACGACTCAGACGCGACGTGACAACGCTGCGCACTGGCAATGCGTTGCCCAGCACCAAAGGAGGACAGGAGAGGAGGCAAGAACCTAATGCATGGAAAGAGGGGGCAGTGACTTCTAGTATTCACGGTTCACGAGGGAATCAATACCTTCAGTATTCAGGCGATATTCAGTGATTATTCAGTGATATTCACTATTAGAGTGTATTCACAGTGCACGAAATTTCGGAGTTGGTGCCCCCTCGGCATGGAATTCTAGCGTTCAATCAGTCAAAACTAAAGTACATGGGAAAACTGATAAATTTAGGTCGTTGCAGCGTCGAGAAGCGCTAGTCGGCCGCTCGTTGGGTTTTAATCGTAATTTTTGATATTTTTTGAGGCATTTCTTGGCCTAGGCAGCAGTGCCGAGGCTGCTGGTGCCTTTGCATCACTTTGAGGGTGTTACGTGATGACCTTGCTCAGGTACGGCACGCCGACTAACGGTGCGGCTAGGCCAGGCTGACCTCACCTGAGGCGTCGCCTTCACGTGTCCTTGACGCATCCCCCTTGCAGTCTGCCGCTATTTCTCTTTTTATTTGTTCCCTTTTATACCCTGTCCTTCCTTTTGCCTCATCGGCTCCTGCGTTGCCATCCGTCGTGCACACGGTGGGGTTTGCGTCAGGTCAAAGCTCCCCTTTTTTGCCTTGATGCCGCGTTGCCAGATTTTAAGCTGATTTTCTTAAACTCCCTAAATGTCCGAAGTATATGACGATGAACGCCCGCAGCAAACAATTGCGCAATCACCTGAGAAATGTGTGGTGTTACATTTCATCCATAAGCAACCATATTTTCTTGTCCAAAAAGAATTCTGTTCATTTTTTTTTGCAAAAAAAGATAATGGGAAAATGCACAGAGAATCAAATCACGATTGGACTGTGGTGCGGAAATTTATTGCTGCAAGCGCAGTCGTAGATTCTCATCTTACTGCATTCATGTTTCGCGATACGTGTTGCACGCGGCGACAGAATGTATTTCGCACGCACGCTCGGGCCACCCTGCACGTTACCATAGGAAGAATGAGTCCGCCTCCTGGGCAACGCTATCTACAGCAAAATCTGAATCTTTCCGAACATTTTAAATTATTGCATTTATTTCGAGCTGTCTCTAAATTTCGGGCGGCTAGACAGAGCTGCTCGGTGAACTTCGCACAGGGTAAATTAACAAAACAATTTTTTTGTAGTTTTTTGGTTTATTCCTGTTCAACCGTAGTATTACAATTTCTAATTTCGGTGATCCTGTTCATAACATTTTGAACTCTATCTTTGAAAGAGATATGAATACCCAAAATGTTAAGATTGCATGCCCTGATTTAGTTTAGGGGGAGGGGCCCTCCTTACAGTTCAAATCCATACTGTGAGTTCGTTTGTCCGTCTATCCGTACGTCCGTCCCTCTGTCCCACTCGACAAGCACCACGCCCAATATCAACACAAATCCGTGTCCACTCGAAATCACCGGTGCAAACAATTGAAACGGCCGCCATGCGCCGCCGAGCTTTGCCGCTGTTCAATTTACAATGGGCGTCCCATAACTCTGAAAGTTGCCGCCACGCGGGCCCGGTGGGGTCCGCCTCTGCTGCCACGGCTGCCGCCCTCCGCGCAGCGGCGGCACGGCGGCAGCCAGCCTTCTCAAGTTTCCGCTAGACTGGAGCCTGTAAACAAAAATGCAACTCGAATTTATTGCGATGAGAATGGTCGCCATTCCCGCGCCATTCCACGGCCCGCTAGATGGCCGGGACACGTGCCCGACAAGCAGCGCCACGGGGGTGGGCCGGCAGGCCGAGCTGGCCGCCACCACGGCCCACAACGTACCCGGCCCGCGACTCCCACTCATATTTTCTTCTGTCATTATTTTTATTCTTTCCCTTCATTTATTCGTCGGGAGAAAGGGCGATAAATATGTAGTGCCCTCCTCGATTCACTCGCAAGATAGTGCCTGGACTTTTTGCGTGACCATGCTCTAATCCCTCGGCAGCTTTAATCCGTTACGGCCATCACGTTAAGGGTGCAATGGAACCCGCGGCTGGGGCTTCGCGCAGGGGACACGTGGATCGCACGCTCCGCTACCATATGCTTCATCGGCCCCGAGCTTAATTTATCTGAATAAAAATGTCATTTTAATTATTGTCAGTTGGACTTTCATTTATTTATTTTTTGTTTTTTGATGAGCTGTTTTAGATACGCCGTAATAAAAATACCGAAGTGATACCGAAATAAAAGTTGGCAATGGCCGAAGGATAGCACAGCATCCCATTTTGGAAATTCTTGTAAAAGATACTGTGGAGGGAAACTTTCCGTGCGCTTGTAAAATTACAATTTTTATTTCAAAAAAAGTACTACTCAGCTACTTATAATTCCTAAACAAAGAATGGTCGGTCATTAATTTATAACATAATTTTATAAATCGCGAATGCAATATATTTTTTTTAATTTTACGAAAGATATTTTCTATGGTGGCTCTACAGATCCACACACGTCATCGCAAGTATATATGGGGCGCGGGAATGGCGCTCGCAAGCGAAATTCTCATCAGCAAACACAATTGTCATGGCTGTTTGTTTATCATCCCGCCTCATTCCCCCCCCCCTCCTCCCTGGACTAAAGCACACAATGTAAATCCCGCCGCCGGCGCTTAACGAAAGGGTTGCGCCGCTCCCACGCAAACACGCACTCTGATTGGATCGGCGTAGAGTTACTGGCGCCATGGGGGCGCTGCTCCCCTCACTCACACAGGCTGTTTGTGTTGAATCAAACTTGAAATTTAGATGGGCGATAACCTCATGTTTTTCTTATTTGGGAAACACTAAAAATATGAATTGGCTGCCGCCCTATTTCTGTGCACATATTTAAATCAAGACTAACAATTTAAACAAAAATAATGGCCCGGAAACAAAAGAGAGAAAATTGCCTGTCGTGCGATGCGCTTTTGCATGCAGGTCACAGAGCGCCAGGGGTGACTTTGGAGCTTACAAGGAGGGACATCAGGCTCCTGGCGAGCAGGGGCTGCTGGTGGGATTCAGAAGATCAACCTAGCCCCCTCTAGGGCGTGGCCTGGCGTGGCCTGGCGTGGCCTGGCGTGGCCTGGCGTGGGGCTCTACAGCCCCGCATTAGTAAGACAGTGGCCACGCTCGAGACTAAGTCCGGCTGGTGGGGGAGGGTGGACG